CATCCTCGCGTTTTTTTCTGGAAGTTATCTGTTGTCTACGACTTACAAACATTGTGCTTACTTGTAGTCAAAGCGTTTATCTCTTATAATAATGTTGAAAAACTCAATATACCTATTTGTTTAGAACGAGAGTTGAAATATCTTTATTCTTAATATACTTCATAATGTCAAACAATCTTCTGTTAGACGTTTACATTAGTGATATTGAAAAACTGGAATTCTATTGGTAATATTTCGTAAACTTGTTCACTTACTGACACAATCAGAGAATAAAAATCACAGTTATACATTTAAATATTCTTTTATCATACAATGTTGGTTCAACTTTTATTGTGATTAGCTAAGAGCCTACAAATAATTCTTAATGAATTTCCACCTTCAAGCCCATGAAAATTATCTGTATTTGACGTCATTTTTAACGTGACAACTGACAAAACAAAACTTATTTTGGCGGAATCTTGCTTGATATTGTCTCTTGTTTTTTAAATTATTTTTTCTTGATTTACTAAGACTAACGAAGTAAAAACTTTTGGAAAGTTTTACAAATATCAGTCAAGACTTTTTTCATTGAAAATTTAAGGGAAAAAGACGAAAGCGTACTCAAACATGATTTGATGCTGAAGCACGTAAAAAATGCTTCAGTATTTATAGCATAAAAGCTTCTGCTTTTATAAATATATAACGAAACTTTTTCTGAATTCAGATTTTGCACGATTTCAAGAATCATGAGAAAAATTGTTAATAACGTGCTCAACTCATCAAATAATTGTTAATTATTAAGTGATAAGTATCAGTTTACGTAAAATGGTACACTTTCATTTGCTCAGAAAGATTTTGCAAGCCACTTCTCTCCAGTGATGGATTTTGCACTTCGTTAGCCACGGCAGTGGGAGTGTTGATAAATGAATGTTGAAAAAATTCGCAGAAAACAATTAATTTTAAATGAATAATACACGAAAGATTCATTAGATGAGTTTCCCCGGAAATTATAGCCCTGACAGCTACCGTTGGCATTTATTTCCTTATATAATTGTCAGTGTCACTCTTTTAAGTTTGAAAAGGAACAAAAATTATTGACTTCTTTAAAATGTCTTCATTATATAAATGTCAACGTTATCCTTTTTCAGGATTCATTTTGGGTGTTTTTACCAAGAACCAAAAACTAATGAAAAATCGCAATGATGCATTAGTTTGTCAAAATATTAGAGAATTCAAAAACTAAGCAATACACATACTTTAAGATAATATGCTACTTTTGCAATTACCTTAAGACAGCACGGGATTGAGTCATAAAAGTAATAAGCTAGTAAATGGGAAATGCTTTTATATTACGAAAAAGATTTTGTTATGAAGAAATTATTTAGTAGTTTTTGTTTCTTGTCGTCATCTTCTAATTCTTCTTCCTCTTCCCTCCTTTTTTTCTTCTTTTTCCTCCTCTTTTTCCTTCTCTCCTTCTTTATATTTTTCTTCTTCATATTCTTTCTCTTCTTGTTCCTCTTCTTCTTGCATTTATTTGCTCTCAAGTTCTTTCGAATGTCTCCTCGGCTTACATACATGGGCAAGCACAGTGCACAGTAAGCATCTATTATTTCTTAAATGACAAAATGACAATCCACGTTGCTTTTCCCAAGAAAATATATGCTTAAGTTTTCAACGCTCAAGAAATGCTTTTTCCAATGCCTTTTCAAACAATTATTTTTTTCAAATTTATGAATGTCTTCCACAATTCTTTTCATAGCATGCTCTTTGCTCGCATTTCGATAAATTCATGAATGCCTTCAGTCATTTTTAGCAGCAAAAATAAAAAAGCCTTAAATATATTCAAACACCAAGAACTCATTATACGAAATTATTTTTTAGCACTGGTATAATAAAGAAGGATATATGATGAAGACCTCTTCGTACGCCGAAAAAACTGGATATCTCATGTAGATGAACGATGGTTTTTCATCCAAAGATTTTCTGTATCAAGGAATCGTCGTTGAAATAGTCAGCAAGGATCTGTCCTGTTTACTGTCAAATATAGTCTGTTATATTTGACAGCTAAAGAGAAATGGGAATGGTGCTTCTTCTAACTTCTGCTTTGCTGTAGCCATGGATCTAACGTAGGAGTTGTATTGTCATTAAAATTATTGAATACAGGTCACACCGTATTTCCTCACCTATCGCCCCACAAGAAAGTTTGTTTCCAACACAACACGTTCAAAAGAAAATTTTCAGTCGCAGAAAACAGAAACTTCTTTGGAAGCCTGGAGGCTAAGTAAAAAAGTTTTTTCTTCTACATGATTTCTTACATAGTGCTTTAATATTTAGAAATACTTGGCTTGTTTTCACTTGTTTACTTGATCTACTAAAGGATTATTCTTATATGTTTTGACAGTAACACGCAGAATTAAATCGAAGAAGAAAACACCAACACAATACAAAAATCGTTTTATTGTTTGAGATCGTAAATAATTACCGGGCGGAGTCTTTCTCAAAAAATTGATGTAAGCATGAAGTTCGAGTGCATCGTAATAAATGATTTTAATACTAATTTTTGTGATTCAATAGATTGTTCTGCTTTTAAAAGATTTTGTATTTATGGTGTTTTACAAATACATGAAATATTCTCTGGGTGACTTGTTTCTCCATTATGGCTGCTTGCTTTTCGGAGTCAGTTTTTCCTTCTTTGGTATAATGGGGCTAATGTACATTATACATGTTATAATTTCTAGAAATAATTAATTTCAAATAATGTTAATGTGTTAAAACTTATATAAATGAATATTCTCCCATCCATCCAAGCGTTTAAAAATGAATATTATCCCAACTAATAAAACTTGCATAAATTATTGTTCTCCCAAGTATAAAACTCGTTTAAATTAATGTTCTCCCAACTATCAAAACTTGGATAAGTAAATATGCTCCCAGTTATCAAAACGTCCATAAATGAATGTTTTCCCAACTATCAAAACGTGCATAATTGAATATCCTCCCAATCACCGAAACTTGCTTGAATGAATATCCACTTTTAGTAGTTATAGCAAACTTTAGTTAAAAAATATGTACGTGGGGTGCACAGCTGGAAAGCATCTTTTATGTGTCTTCACCCTTAAAGTGATATCACCTGAATATAGTAACACTTGAAGAAATAAAAAAATTTTAGGATAAGAATTATTTCACCAAGAAGCACTTTAGAAATAGCTTGCACACAAAAATCACATGGAACACATAGGCCTAATATATGGCATATGTTAGTCAAAAAAAATTTCAGGAAATTGGTTTTACCTTCCAAATTATTAGTTAATATAAGCAATTTGTCTTTAAATGCTTTTTTTCATAATTCTTAACAATATGTGGCTTTGATGGTTTTAAAAAAATGGAATTTAAAAATGCAAAGCTCAAAATAATTCGCGATTTTGCTGCCAAGCAAGAAACCCGATGTAGTGTTCATCGCAGAAACATAGCTTACATGATACTTGTAATCTTGAGATATCTGAGTATAACATTGTTAATAAAAACAGAGCTTTTGGACTACATGGTGGTGGTGTATATGTCCATATGTAAAAAAATCTATTCAGTTTACAGCTCTAGACTTATTTAGTTTTACCACGTTTGAGTCTTTCTGGGTTAAAATAATACAAATCAAATAGTTATAAACGAAGTAGTTAATTCACTTACAGCAATGGACATTTTTATATTTTTGGTGTGAAGTCGTTTTGAGTTGTTCTTTTAATAGACTTAACTTTTGCCATCTTACGGATGAATTCTGATTACCAGAAACAGCTTCAAATATACCTAAATGATACAACCAAACATCGGACATGATCTTAACAAATCTTTATATTTTCTACAATAAGAATTCTATATCAGCTTTCTCTCATTTAATTTATCAGGATATAATGTAAAGTTTTCTTATCAAGGCGTGAGATATACCTTTCCCAACATTTAAGCCAATGAGCGCCTATTTCATCTTATTCAACTTAAACAAGAAAATGAAACAAAAGTTCCACAATCTAATGATGTGAATTTTCATGTATAAGACCAACTCTTAACTATGGAGCGGAGGTTTGTTTTAACAAACTCCCAAAATACCGAGGAAACGGTAACAAATTCAAACATGTTAATGAAAACAATAAAAATCATAAGGCCGTATCTTTGCTTTAAAGAACAATAAACTTTTAATGTTTTAAATTAAGTTACACAAAATAATTTGCCACGTATCAACTCAAAGGACGCGACCATTTGACTCTTAACTTTTCAGAACGTTAAGTGATTTGAAAGATCGAATATTCAAAAAGTTTTGAGCCATAAACTACTAAAAGTTTTGTGAGATTAAAAGATAAATAATTATCGTGTGTGCTAACGATCTGTAAATGATATCTTAAATAAAAATTGCTCGTAATCTTTAATTGATAAACTTTTAATAAATATTGGTAACACCCAAGTACTAAAAAATATACGTCATAGATACCCGTAGCACTTTGCAATGCTGTAATTGTACACCAATCAAACCAAGTTACAAACACAAACATATTAACTGCTTACAAAAAAAATCACTGCCATTTATCTAAAGTAAGGCGTGTTTATCATGATGTGCTTAATTGTAATTTACTTTATGTTTATAAAAAGTGGTTTTGCCTTTTAGCAACGTTATTATTTTGGAAATGTAGCTTTTTTTTAAATTTTTATCAATGAACCATTTATACTAAAGTTTTCGACAAGCACAATTTAAACGTTTATGACATATAATTGTGCAATGATATTGTGTTATTTAACCGGCAAGAGCACCACTAGTATAAAAATAAAAGTGAAATATCGAGCTGTAGTTTTTAACCAATCGCTCCCAAAGTACCTTATAAATGGTCTAATGTAATACAATTTACAATTCTAATTTCTATTGATGAATTCGATCCAAACTAAATTCAAGCATATAAAGCAAAACAATGAAAATCATCAGGCCGTATCTTTCCTTTACATAACAATAAACTTTTAATGTTTTAAATTCAGTTGCACAAAATAATTTGCCACGTATCAACTCAACGAACGAAGTCATTTGACGCTTAACTTATCTAAACGTTAAGAGATCTGAAAGATCGAATGTTCAAAGCTTCAACTGTCGACCAGTAAAAGGTTTGTAAGACGAAAGATAGAGAATTATAGTGTGTGTAAACGATGTATAAATGAGGTCTTAAATTAAAGTTGTTCGTCAAATATAATTAATACACTTTTATTAAATATTAGTCTCAACCTAGTACTATGAAATATATATCATAGATACCCGTAACAACTTGTGATCCAGTAGTTGTACACGAGTTAATACAAATACAAACAATTTGTTTACCAAAAAATCACTGTCATCTAAAGGAAAGCCTGTTTATCATGATGTGCTTGCTTGTTAAGGAATTCAAATTGCTTGCTAGCATGGAATTATATTTTTCTTTTTGGTCCGGACGGCATATTTATAAAATATTTATTTTCTAATTATACTTGTGATAGTATGAAATGACATTTATGAATCAGGAAGAAAATTTAGTTTGAAATTGCAAATGGACTCGTGCATGTAATTATTGAATACTTTAGGTATTTATATCGTTTTGGAAGTAGAAAAATTGATCAGGAAGTGTGCTATCTTTGTGATAAACTAGTTTGTAAGTCCACATTTTAAATGCGGCTAAAGACTTTGCTAACCTTTTTAACGTTACAATTGTCTTTCGTCAAGCTTTGGTTGCGAAGGTTCATGTATGCAAATTCATCGCATTATAGTTACAATAAATTTTAAAGCAGATATGAATATTGCAAATTATTAATTCTTTTTAACACTCCCACTTTATGGTCATATCTTAAATTAAACGAGAAAAAGTTGCGAAATCTGACATTGTAAATTTACATACCTTGAGTATGTAGCTGAGGCTTATCACCACGTACTTACTTCCAAAATATCTTAAAAACGGCATAATTTGATAAAATTTATAGTTATTTCTAGTGATCAATTTGTTCCAAACTATATTTAAACCTATGAACAAAAATAATAAAAATCATGAAATCATATCTTGGCTTTACATAACAATCTATTCTTAAGATATTTTAAATTCCGTGGCACACAATAATTTTCCACATATGGATTCGAAGGAAGAATATATGATGCTTAAGTTGCCAGAACTTTAAATCTTTCTAAAAGTTCAAATGTTCAATGCTACACACCGTTAACCAGTAAAAGGTTTGTAAGAAAAAAACAAAGAAATTTCATGCTTCATTACGACGAATAAATGTGACCCACGGAAGCTTGTGGGAAATTTGACAATTCTAAGAAATTTCAGTTAGTCCAATTCATCCAAAACATCACAACTACTTTTATGTGCAGATTTGCATACGTTATTCTCCAGACGGAAAACTTATTGCTGTTACCATAGCTTGTCCAATTGATTACATTGTTAAGATGTTCATTATTGGCTTGCGTTCTGGTGAAATTTGTTATATGTTGGATTGCGTGGATGAACGTACTCGAAAGTGTCCAAAAACCGAGTGTCTGACCTCATTCTTTGGTACTTTGTGTCAAGTTTCTTCAGTTACAAGTTTTCATCCCCGCATTTTTTTCTGGAAGTTACCTGTTGTGTACGATTTAAAAACATTGTGTTTACTTGTAATCAAAGTGTACTCAACATACCTTTTTGTTTAAAACAAGTGTTGAAGCATATTTATTCTTAATGCCCTTCAGAAAGTCCAACAATCTCCTGTTGGGCGTTCTATCACAACAGTGCTACTCAAAACTGCACTTCTTTTGATAACATTTCGTAAATTTGTTTACTTAATAACAAAATCAGAGGATGAAAATCTAAATTATACTATTAAATATTATATTTTCATACAATATTGGTTCAATTTCGATTGTGATTGGCTGAGAGTCTGCAGATTATGTCTTTCCGCTTACAAAACAATGAAAATTTTTTATAGTTGACGTAACTGTAAGCATAAAAAGTAGCGAGAGACTTGCCGAGCGGAAATCGAATACGTGTGATAAAAATTAATGCCCAACATAAAGTTCTGATTAGAGCCATAGAAATAGACCAAAGAAAAAACAAATTGTAAAATTTAAATTTATTGTGACGTTTCGTCTTTACTCAAGACATCTTCAGACAAAATAATAGATAGGACGTTAAGACAAGATATTATATTTACAAAAAGGTGTTAAATTACTACTAACGGAAGCGGTGTCGAATGGATACATGATAAGGAAGTTTGGAGGTGAGATGAAGAGAAATTAAAAGAGGTTAAGTGGAATGGAGGCACTTTTTGTGTTTATTGATTAGAAGGCTTTCATAAGTATAAGTATCGTTGGAAGAGGAAATTATTTTAAAGTCGTCTAAGTTGGGGTGTGTCCAGTTTCGTTAATGTGAGCAAGAATGCTTGATGATGCTGGGTGGGAAACTTGGTTGCCTGTAAGGGGGGATATTCCCAAGTGCTCCGAAAATCTGGTGTGTAGATGACGTGTGGTTTTACCCACTTACGAAGCGTTGCAGCTTCGACACTTGAATAAATAGACTACACCAGACCTCAGAGGTTTAAATTTTACAATTTGTTTTTTCTTTGGTCTATTTCTATGGCTCTAATCAGAACTTTATGTTGGGCTTTAATTTTTATCACGCATAAAAAGTACTTTGGCGGAATCTTCCTTAAGATTTGCAAGCGTTTTCCAAACAATTTTTGCTCGATTTAATGATTAAAATGGCACAACTTTTATAACTACAGCATACAAATATAAAAATGTTAACTACAATCAATGTTTAAAATATCCATGATAATTTTCAAATTACTACCTTGAAAAAGAAAAAGAAAGGAAAAAAAAGTCAGGTGTAAAGACAACTTTCCCAATAACCTAGGTCAATATTTAAAGTGTGTTTGCGAGTTGAGGAAGATCAACTTCCTCGTATCGCAGTAATTGCTGACCTAATCAGTGCGACAGACAGTTTACAACGCATCCACGCTAGCGTGATGCCATATTGCAGCTTTCACTTTTGTACCAGAAGATCAGCTAGCCGTTTATAAGCAATTGCCGTCTCTTTCCCCATACCACCTGATGTTGAAAAGACCAGTAGTGTAAAAGCAGCATATTCAATCTCTCTTACTCGATCATCATATTCCCTTTTCTTAGCCATCTCATGCTAAGAGTCATGCATCTAGAGTGCAGGTAGATTGGTGTTTTGGTAGCTCGACGCGTTTGGGTGAAATACCCTTACATCAAAAAATGCATCTTGCTGTCTAGACAAAAAAACCTTTAGCACGAATGTTTAGTGTCGCTTCTTCTTGTCTATTGGCTGTACGAGGTAATATCACTTCCCCAGACAGAGGTTGTAATTGTGGCTCTTTTTCAACTGTTGAGCAAACTTCTGCCATCCACTGCGCTGTTATATCTTGTGCTTCATTATGTCTCAATATTGGTAAACCACCAAGAGAGCATATCATCGCGTGATTGGTTGCAAAAGCCTTTCCACACATGCAGTGCTGAGGGGTATTTTTCAACTGCCATCCATAACGTAAACTTAATGCATCTCAAAATTCCCCTTTGTTCAAATTAAAGCCTTGATCTTGTAATGGAAGTACACTTAAACATGATGACGATCCTTTCTCGCTCAGTATATCTAGCTTCCTTTGCATTGTTGGCGTAAAACTATCTCTTATTTCCTGGATCATATCATCAACTTTCTTCTTCTTTTGCTCTCGAAAAATCATCTTGATTGACTGTAACTGAGGTTTATGAAGTATCTCTTTCTGTTGGACAATCATTTCTTTCAGGCATTGACTGATCTTTTTGGAAGCAAGATAATCATCATTTGCACTTTTAACTGGGTTGATAATATTTAGACCACCAAATCGTATAGGAAGTGAAAGGAGTGTTCGTTCATCTGGATTGCATTGGTTTCTTCTAGTAAGTAATGGTATAAATGTCTGCGAAATTGCATCTTCCAGAGGTTGAAATAACTTACTGATGCTCTCAACTGTTCGCATTATATAGTGCCACTTTCCCATTATACAATGATAAAACGCCGCAAACGCTGATTGGGGATAACGTTCTGCAATTATTGAAAGACTTTCAATTTTTTCCACAAATACCCCAAACTTTCTTGCCATTTACTCTTGGATGAACAAATTAGAGCCAATTGCTGATCCCAACAATCCATGGCCTTCAGTTGTTATATTAATTTCTGTTCCTCCAAAATGGTTTATCGCTTCTTCCAAGTGTTGTGACTTAACAACAAGATACGTTTTACTCCCTTTGAAAAATAAACCATCATTGGCCCAATGTCAGATATGTTTTGCCACCATCTTCTTAAAGACTTTATTTTCCCACCACATGTAGCATCATCAGCAAAACACACTTGCTTGACTGTTGGTTCTTCTGACCTAAGCCTACGAATCAAAGGTGTAACTGCCATTGCGAGCGGATCCCTTGTGTAATCCCTTCTGCTGACTGAATTTCTCCTCCTAAATGACACTTGATAGGTATTATTTAGTACAGTTGATATTGAGGGACAAATTATTTCAGTGTTATGCAGTGCTGCTTGCCGATTGATAGTGTTAAAAGCATTGGTAGCATCTACTAGTAGTACAGCTTGTGTTTCATCTGATGACATGATCTCATTCATTGCATGGATTGCCGCTTCACACCCTGCTTTATGACCTGCACATAATTGTAAAGGCCCTGCTGCTTTCTGGACATCTTTCCCAACCACTTTAAAAATCGCCTATGCTACAATCCGCCGTGGAACTTCACCAACACCTATCGGACGTATTCCAGGATTCTTATCCAGTGGTATTAACCGACATGCTACAAAAGCTGACAAACCATCGGGACTGACAGATGAAGTGCATAGACGATGGGCAACCCCTGCAAGTGCATTACACGTGTCAACTGATGCCTCTTTCAATGAGGAGCAAAGACCAGCTGCCCCGTGCATGTTGTTTGCGGCTACTTTTGTTGCTTCTCCTTTAATTTGGTCAAAAATTATAGGATCATAACAAATTTCATCAACTTCTGCCTGTTTTATAAATGTTCCCACATTTGGGCAGTACCTTGTGAATATTTTTCTAGCAAAATTTCTCTTGTCATTTTTCCAAATCTTTTCACCTTTCTC